TCTCTCTCTCTCTCTCTCTCTCTCTCTCTCTCTCTCTCTCTCTCTCTTAAGGTTTTTTCGAGACAGAGTTTCTCTGTGTAGCCCTGGCTGTCCTGGAACTCACTCTGTAGACCAGGCTGGCCTAGAACTCAGAAATCCCCCTGCCTCTGCCTCCCAAGTGCTGGGATTAAAGGCGTGTGTCACCACTGCCCAGCTTACTGTGTCTCTTAACACAGTAAAGTCATACACGTCAAAACCACAAAGAATTTTAGTTGGAACCTGATAGAGTAGTGAGATAAATAGGTAGGCTTGCTATTTGAATAACAGCGATCTTTATTTCTTTTAAATTTTATCTTTTGTTATTTTTTATTGTGTGTGTGTGTGTGTGTGTGTGCACGCGTGTGCGTGCGCGTGCCTGAGGAAACCAGAGGCATCAGAGTCCCTGGAGTCGTGAGCTACCTGATGAAAGTGCTGGGAACTGAACTTGGGTCCTTCGGAAGAACACTAAGTGTTCTTAACCATTGAGCCATCGCTCCAGTCCTGACAAGGCTCTTTTTGCATGCATCTCTTCACAGCACTGGTGAATCTTAATTAATGTTGAAAGCAAAACTAAATTACAGGTTTCAAGAGAACGGTGTAATGTTTTCCATCTTCCACAAGAGGGCACCATCTTCACGTGAGCTGAAAAGACACTTGCTTTCCTGTTGGTATTGTTGACCTACCTATTTTTAAAAAGGGAAGAAACAGGAGGAAGTCAAGAAAAACAGGTAAGCAAATGTGAAAACATCCAGAAACGTGGTGTTGATCTGTTTCATGATAGGTATGTGAACACAAAAAAAAGCACAGAATCCAACTGATGAGCTTAGAGGGGTGAGTGTGCCTATGCACATGCGTGTTAACCTCTTGGTCATTTAGTCTCTGATAACCCCTTATAACTTGTATGAAAAATAATTTGAATTTTTAAGGGGAAAAACAATCCCTCATGCTATGGATGTCAGAGGGAATCGTTCATTTCCTCTCTTAGATCACGTAGTGAGGGTTTGGACAAGGGTATCTATCTTAGACCAGAAACCACTGGCACAACCTAGAGCATTTCATGTTAGAGAAGAGACACAACAATCAGTAGCAATTTCTCAACGGTAGTGTGCTAGCAGTAGGGGCACAGTCGCAGGGCATGCTGGGAGAAAATGCAATAGTTGAAAACTGTCTCTGATTTCTATGGAAAGGTAGAGCTAACTGCCAAAGACAAAATCAAAAAATTAGAGTAAGAAGCAGCTATGCAGTGTAGAAATGAAAACGATCCAACACAAGTATTTGAGTGATGACTGAGTATGGAGTTTCTGGGTGGCATGGGATAATGGCATGGTCCCATAAAGTTATTGTGGAAGCTTACCTTAGATGGGAGGTATTTGTGACTGTTCTTTTGGGGGTGGGGAGTGTGCATCCAAAACAGGTTGGAAAGTTCCTATAAGATGGGGTGCTTAGTAAATATATGTTGAATGGATAGAAGAACAAGCGAAAGGCTAACATGGACCATCCTGGAAGAGAGCCAGAATCAAGACCACCCGCCACCCAGTTTGCAGTCTTGACTCAGACTTTAAATAAAAATAAGTTTTCCCTTCTGCAAAAGGCTTTTGACATCTTTTCAAACATTTGTTATGAATTCTCTTCCTAATACTTACTTATGACTTACTGTCATTTCCAGGATAAGTGTGCACTGGGGTAATGGAGATGCCCAGAATTCTGGGAAATGATTGCATGTAGGACCTGGTACAAACCACATCTGGGAAATATCAGAGTTGAGATACAAACTCAACTTTTTAACTTATAAACCAAGTATTTCCTATATCTGCCTGATGACAATAATTATCCAGGGTACTTGTAAATAATAGAGATTCTTGGGTCTCACTCCAACCTTTATGATTATAAAGAAAAAAATTACCAGAAAAAAATATGCCAATAACAAATGAGAACAGAGTAGAAACCAGTCAGGCGGGGCAGGGACCCAAAGCAATAGTTGTAGGAAGGTCTTTGCTGGACACCAAGATTGCCAGAAGAGGGCTCTGGTTCCACATTCCTTGAGATCTTTTCTCTTAAGTAAGCATTTCTGCCTAGAGGCTAATTGTAGTGGTAGGACTGAGCCACAGCCTAGACAGCAGTCCCTCTGGTGTTTTTAGGGTCAGGTCTTCATGGAGAAAATGGATTATATCCATCCCTAATTTCAATCCGTCTTATAAATGATTTTTAGAGTTTTTCTCTTCAGAAGAGAGACTATTCCAATAGCCCTGATCTAGGCTCTTTTGAGACCATTAAAGCAAAGCTACTGACTCTTGGTCAAAAGGAATCAAGTTCTATCTATGTCTGGCCCCAGGGAGAGTCCTAACAAAGCTATAGCAAACACGAGAGTTAACAAAGCTGCCCTTCTCAGTCACCCAGCAGAGAATACACCTCAGGAAGGCCGATTCCCCTTAAGCTGTGCTAAAACCACAGGAGGAACAACCTGCCCTTTAATGAGGTAATGTACTTTTCTTTCCCAGAGATCCAGTGTACAGTACAGTTGTAGTTTTTGTTTGCGTTTGTTTTGTTTTTGTTTTCTTCTTCTTTCCCGTCCCTTTGGATGCTGGCCAAAGCCCAAGGGCGCTTTTTTGGTCCTTTGGCTTTTTTCATTCTCCCTCTGGAGCCACCTCCCATTTGCTATGTAACTGTTTGCTGAACTTCCATGCCTAACTCAAAAAGCTGTGGTTTCTTCCCTCCTCTTTATCCCCCTCCTCCAGGCAGATGCTGAGATTTCTTGCTTGCCTGAGCTGTGATTTTTTTCTTTTATACACTAACAAAAATGTCACTGATTTTCCTCCTGTGTCTGTTCTTAAATTCTTTTACTAATGAAACTATGAGAGGGATCCCAGTTTCCTTGGTAACATCTGTATCCCAAGGAAATCCCCCAAATTTCTGGAAACAGTAATTTATATTTTCATTTTTTTTAAAGTTGTATATGTCTTCCTGTGTCCCTGAGGATATGCAAAAGCCAGATGTCCCTCCTCTGGAGTTTAGACAGGATCTTACTATGTAGCCTCAGCTATCCTGGAACTGTAGACCAGGCTGGCCTCCAACTCCCAACAATACCAGATCCTTAACACTCTTTACTCAGCTATTAAAAACAATGAATTCGAGAGGTTCCTAGGTAAATGGATGGAACTAGAAATTATCATCCTGAGTGAGGTAAGCCAATCACAAAAGAACACACATGGTATTCACTCACTGATTATTGGATATTAGCCCAGAACCTTGAAATGCCCAAGATGCAACTCACAGGCCACATGAAGCCCATAAAAAAGGAAGACCAAGTGGGGGTGATTCAGTTCTTCTTAGAAGGAGCAACAAAATACTCAAGGGAGCAAATATGGAGACAAAGTGAGGGACAG